GAGTAATTTTACTTAATCTAACATTAAAAAATTGATAATCAGATAAATTGATTAACACAAATGTTTCATGTGTTTTGAGAATGAATACGTGATGCTATTCAATATTTTAAAATTCAAGATAAGAGGTAAAGTTAAGTTTTTTATTTTGAAATCAATTTTTTTCTTTAATTTGGGAAGTTATATTTATTGATACTTTAATCATTAATATTTCCATCCTTTTTCGAAATAATTTTTTAAAAAAATACAGTCCCGCAACACTCCATAGAAAGGTCTGATTACCAATCTAATCGCCTTTTGAGACAGTTGGTATTCTCATTCATCCTTTGATTAATGACAATTGTATATTTTTTACAATTTTAATTTTTTTGTATATCTTGAGAAAATCTAAAAAAAAAAAACCTCGCTTCATCCTAACACAGTTTATTAGCTTTCAGTAAAATGAAAATTCACTGTGCCAAACTAGATTTGAATAAGTGTAGCTACTTATATAAATTCATTATTTAAACGATTATATCCATTTATCCTACAGTAGTTAATTAATATTTCACTTTTTCCGAACCTTCTCATCAGAAGAAGACGCTATTAGAAGCCAAAGACAATCACGGTTTTAATCTTGATAAACATTTTATGTAGTTAATAGATAGAAAGAAACTTATTATGTTCAATACTAGAAATCGCACAAGACTTTCATTAATACATTTAAAACAATTAAAATGCTTTGATGTATAGTGAATGTTTTTTTTGTTTTTTTATATCACGTCCCTTGCCACGGAGGTTTTTTCTAAAGGTACAACCAAACCTATATTAACCAGATTTAATATAGACGATGGTTGAGATTCATTCCCTGGGTCTGCCAAGAAATAAATTTCAACCTGTCAAGACCGGATTCGAACCGACGCCACTAGGCTCTAGAATGTTAAAAGTGGGTAACCCTTTTACAGGCTCGGCCACCGCGGCCTCATTGTGGCATTCTAACCCCCCGAAGAAAAACACAGGTTTAATCATTCTTTTAAGGGATGATAACATCTCTTACAAGTTCCGATCAGCCGCAAGAGGGCCCTTAAAAGCTTACTATACCAAAAAAATGTTTTATATGTTACAAAAAATTATCTAGTTCTGAAAAGTAAACTTATTTCTAACTGCAGGTTACCGTTACTAATAATTTACTGAATGAATATTAAAATTTAATGAAGAAAGAATTCAGTAAATTTTGATGAATAAATTAAATCAATTTATTGATTATGGGTTAATATGACGATGGTAATAGCCGTTAATACTGAAAAAGATCTGGGACAGTCCGAACAAAAAATATAGGTTCTGCCTAAAATATAAAATAATTAATAACAAGCTTTCGATGGTTTTGGTTAAATACTTCGTAAAGAAGTACCATTTATTGACAAACGGTTAATAATTTCCCTATTCAAGGATGGAAAAATTACTCACTTTATAGATACTGGGTGTACCCCAGGAAACTCATCCCACGTCTCTGTCAATAAAATATAAATTAAGGTTGGCTTTATGACAATCATAAACTTCTACATCCTAACATCTTAGATTGAGTTGGTTCACGTCATTCAAGACAATTTTATTTTAGCTGAAAATGTTGTGAAATTTCTCCCGAAAATTACTCAGTGATTTTACTATCTCATGGGCCATCTTCATACAAAACTCCTCAATAACAACAATATTCAAAAATAATAAAATGTTCGAATTCGGCTAGTATATTTACAAACGCGTTGTTAATTCATAAGCATAAGCAATCGACGTAAATATTAAAATATTTTAATATGTGAAATAGATATTTTAAGAAAATATGCACCGACTTTTATAAACTTAAAATAACAGGAACTTTTGCTACTGATACCAAATTCGCAAACCTCTGAATAGTTTTTAATAACTAATAATATATGTACTGAAAGGTACATATTTAACTAGAAATTTTCAAATATTCCTAATTACTTGGACTGACTCGATCTCTTTTTATTCAGAAGTTTTAATCACAAATCATTTATGCTATAAAAATTTTAAAATATGTAATAATAAAAAAATCCAGATTTCTAACAGGCCTATATATTTGTGTTAATAAAACATGTCATTATATTTTTTTTTTAAAATAATAAATTCCGCTCACATTCATAGAACAGATTCATGGCATAAATATGCAAAAGCTATTGAGTATAGTAGGTCAAGAATTGGAGGGAACTATGTGTTAAAGGGTATTTGACCTTAGTACCTGCTTAACAAACAGCCTTTCATAATATATTTCCATAAAAATACTATTTAGCATTGTTAGTTAAATATGATTTTTCGTGCCCGTGTAAACGTCTTAAAGCATACATACACTTGTTATTAGATAGTATGAAATGAAATGATACTAAATTTTGTATAAAAGGTTCTTAAAGCACTGTTAAGTTTCATTATCAAGACATGATTTTTAACCACCAGTTGAACCTCAATCAGTATGGACCTCATGACCCGTCTACAAGATTGAGTTTTTTTATTAAAATCGTGATGTAGAAATTGTATAGTTAATAAATACCACCAACTTGGTATCTGCGTCGCCGCTCGACAATATCTAATCTTCCTACCATATATACGGTACATCATCGTACCCATGTTCCTTGATACACAGCATAACTCAATGTTTCTTAATAGTAAAGTTAGCCATGCTGTAAAAACTTTTTTTTTCAACTGAGAAAAGTCCAAAGATTAAGTTTAGCGTACCTCTGCAAAGGTACGAAAAAGTTTAGGAAGAGGTATGTTCTGCATTCAAGAACACAATTCGTGAACACAACAATTCTCGAACAAATGACAACACTTATTGATATCTCATAAGACCAGATTCCTTAACATTTTTTTCATTTAAAAAATTATACGTATAATAAAAACTAATTACAGTTATTGTATACTTAATTTCGTTCGAATTCACGTATATTTATTTTTCGGTAATAAAAATTTAGACTTTAAGTACTGAAGCATAGAACTGTTTATTAAGATAAACATTTTATACCGCTTTGGAATTTATACTAATTATATGATTTTTCCTTTTTTTTTTAAATGTCCTGATGTTAATTATAAAATTAGAAGTATAATTTGGCCTCACTTCACACATAGCTCCGCTGTGTGTGCCAGCAAAGTAAACGCACTTTTCTAATTATGTTAGGTGCCATCCAGGTTTATTGCAACCTTAATCTATTTTAAAATTTATTCTTGAACCAATCCGACATTTTTATTCCAAATCGACAATTCAGAAACGCACAGAAAGGTTGACGATTACACAATGGCCCGCCAACCGATGTGTCTCCTTAATACGAGGAGCGCTGCTTTTAGCTTGATCAAAATTTCCCACACGTTGAAATAATTTGGACATTACTTTGAATCTTGTTAATTACAAAATTTGTTTACGCGGTTGTTTTCTGACCGAGATGGGTTCCTTCTAGATTTTAAGAAGGATAGTTAATCATGTAAAGCTACCTTTAGAATCACAAGATATGTTTACACTAGTATAAAAACTTAGAAGCACTCAAGCATAATGTCACTTGAGGAGTAGGCCAACAAGTGAATTAGGAAGATTCAAGCATGGTTACACAAAAGCTCATTCCATAAGTTGGATAGCTACATATTTTGAAGTTATATCAACAATATGTTAGTAACTAAAATAGTAAAAGAGATATTCAAGGTATATAAAAAAAAATCTATACAGATTACTTCGAAAAGAAATATATAGAAGTTATTCAGGAACATTAAATTTTCTATTAACTAAAATCTCATTGAAAAATGCTTTAAAAAACAAACGACTAAAAAAAAAAAAAATCCTCGATGTCGAAGATTAAGTAGCATTAAAGAAGATAAATATCCAGGTAAATATATTCAGGAAGGAGATTCGCTAGGATTATATTCTTATCTTTTTCCATTGCTATGTGTTTAAGTTGAAAGTATCGCGTGTAACAAAGGCTAAATGTCAAGGGACTGGGTAGAAGACCCGCATTAGTTTTGCTTCACGACTACTTAGACAATACCTTTTCAGCTATGCTCTTTCCAATCATAGTTCTCAAAAGTACGTCAAGCATACGTATTAAATTATATCACTCAATTGTATGCATTGTCTAATCCTTAATGTCTAAAAGTTTCTATATACTAGGATAAATAAGATCATTTCCAAGAATGAATTTGAATCCATATCTAAATTTTAAAATCTGATACTAAACTAGGCTGCAGTTGGTTACAGACGTCTATACATAACGCAAAAGGACAAGGATGAGTCAAGAATACCGGAAAGAATTTTGTCCAAATGAATAATGCAGGTCATGTCCGTTGAAAGTAAGAGCGAACCCAGAAAAAATGTCTGTTGTATACAGTTCAACAATTAGTGCCCATTATATTGAAGAACGCCTCATAACGCAACTTCGACTATGTAACGCCCCTTTTTTTAATAAATGCGGAAAGGAAAATATTCGCACTTCCCAAGTTTTTATTACTACTAAATCCGATAAACTGGTTCCTTTGTTATACAATAAAATAAACTCAAATATAGATTCGCTGTAGTTATAGTACAACAAAGATTAACTTTTCGCTCAATAAAAAAAATATATACATTAAAAAACATATATGTAAAACAGAAAAACCTCTACATATAATTATTAACAATTTTGCTCAAATATCAAATCTAAAAAAAATTAATTAATAGGTATGATTTCAGTGGTAATGGGCTATCTGAAACACGTCAGAAGTGATCATACAATCACAAATAATCGATAAAGCACCTTACAACGTCGCTATAATATTGTCAAATTTTAAATCGTCACAACGCTATCTTGATGGCTTAGGTGCTTAGGAAACACTTTGGACCATGCCAGCATATCTGGGATCAAGATGGAATTCGGTTATGTAATGTCTTCTATTTTTGGCCAAAGATCCAATAAGGAATTATGCTTATATACCGAGGCCCATCATACATGGCAACAAAGCGTTTATTATTGGGGAACTTACGATCAAAAGCAATTACTTCTCTAGTTATTAAGCATTAAGTACCCATACTAAATAATGTTAGCTTATTTATTTATTAAATTTGCTTCTAACTAATATGGTTATAACTATGTTAATAACCCATGTTAACATATAATATAATGTAAATATTCATTTTTAGGATAATCTTAAATTAAGTGATGAATTTAATGATCAATCTTTTTCAGGCGTGCATTGTATTGGCTTTAAGCTGTATAGCTTTGGCAGAGCCCCCTGCACCCAACAACCAATACCTCCCTGTGCCCCAAAATGGGTATAACTATCCTCGACCGCCCATTGGTTTCCCACCCTCTCCGCCATCGCCTGGACCTAGGCCACCATCACCACCCCCAAGCTATGGACCACCACCGGGTCCTCCTGCCAGGCCGCCATCACCACCTCCAAGCTACGGACCACCACCAGGTCCTCCTGCCAGGCCACCATCACCACCTCCAAGCTACAGACCACCATCAGGTCCTCCCGCCAGGCCGCCACCCAGCTACGGCCCTCCCACGGTCCCAAGGCCTCCATCTCCTCCACCAAGCTATGGTCCACCACCAGGTCCTCCAGCCAGGCCACCAACACCTCCAATCCCAAGACCACCACCTAGCTATGGCCCTCCAACTGGACCCAGCCCTCCTGCACCAAGACCTCCACCACCAAGCTATGGACCACCAACAGGACCTCAAAGGCCACCAAGGCCAACTTATGGGCCACCCCAATCCGATGACCCGGTAAGTAACTTAAAATGTAATCAGGTATACCATACATAATTACATAGGCAGGATCGTAGCAATAGAATAAATAGTCCGTAAGTATAAATTTTTAATATTAAAAATATATTCAATTAAAAACAGATAACTAATGAACATTTTCAATTGAAGCAAACAACCATTTTTTATTTTATTTTAGACTCCCAGGATATTTAAAAAATACTCTCGAATACAAAGGCCAAATATTAAATTTCTAGATCAACAATGAATCATGCGTTGTATTTGACCCAACTTAAAAAATAACAGTAAGAATCATAGTTTTAGACATAAACAAACTAGAAGAACTCTGAAAATCATTCATTCTCCTTCATTGATGCGGAATAGAAAGAATAGCTCGGCTGTCGATGATTAATAAAGCACAATATTTACATGGTTGTGCATGGACTGTACACTGTGTGAAACTTACTCACAAAACCGCTAGTTATCTCATTAGTTCCCACGGGTTGCAACTTCGTTACTTCATCCTTCGCCTTATTTCCATGGTAAGATTAGGGCAACGACTCCATAAATAAGAGATTTTCCGAATTAATATGTAACAAATAAAATTATAACTATAAAATACAAAGAACTAGTAAATTAATAGTAATGACATTTTGTCATATTCCTTTCTATAACGCCTACGGTAAATAGTTGCCATAACCCACGAACCCTAAGTCAACATTACCTCTGAATCGTGATCACGACATACAAGCATAACTAGCAATCTTCATCTATTACTCATATATGAAACAATAATTCAATTTTCTAACAATATTTATAAAAGTATTCTTAAAACATTACAATATAAAAATTGGGAAAAAATTATTAAATACAATCTGCCTAAGAACACTTTTTCAATACAAAATCAAATTCTATTGTATTTACTGATAAAACATCTTTACTACAATGAAAGGATGTCATAACCAAAGGACTCTTTCGAAATGGGTAGTTCATCCTCTTCTTCCTGACCTGAAGAAAATTTTCTGACGGGTACTTTCCGGTTGACCACTCATTCGAAGGAAATTTCTCACAACTGATTTCAGCTAGCTCCCTCTCGCATAGCTCACTTCATCATGCTGAGATACGTGATTAGTCCGTGATTTCCTCATACGTTCCCCCGACGTTTAAAGTGTAGAAAACATGGATGATTACACAAGGATATTCCCGTCGCTCAGTTACACGGCATTCTGCAAACTCAGGACACAGGCGCGTGAGAAAAAGTAATGAAGGCTGCTCATTACAGCTTGTTAATTGACCTGGCATAAATTACCCATATTCCAGTAGCAGATGCGAAAGGTCATAAATATGAAGTGATTCATTGTTCACAATATTCTTTACAGCTTAAAGCGATTTTCTAGTAGAAGTGAGATTAACTTCCATCAAATCTGTTACAGTCTTGCACAGATTAAAAAAAAATAATATTGAACAGTTTACATTTCGCTGTTCTACATTTCTTTATAGACAGTGCAAGTTTTATGGTACCATTTTGATATGCGATTTTAATATAAATAAGTCATACGAACTATATTCATTTTACGTAAAATCATACTTACAATTTGAAAAACAGCATTTTACAAACTTGTCCAAAATATAAATATCAGTATCATAAGCTTTATCGCTGTATGCTTCTGGATATTTTACGGGAAAACACATAATAGTTGAAAATTAACATAAAGCATGATTTTTCTTTTCTTTTTTTTTTTTCAAATTGACCACTTGGAATAATGCTACAATTTCATTTCTTCTTTGTTATGAAGTTTCCTCTTCCTCCAGAACTCCCTAAGGATGCTGTGCCGCTGAATCCGTTCATCTCAGTTCTTTCGAATTAAAACCTTTCAAAATCTTAAATCACGACCTAAAAAGTATCCCTACCCAACATGTAAACTTCCCGAATGTTGGAGTATGGACTAAATCCTAACGCACTTCCTTAATCCATGCCTTCGTTGTATTGTTGTTCCACAGGTCGTAGAGTATACTATTGGACAATCTTGTTTTTTTCCATTATTAAACTTGATTTCATTACTTAGATTTTTCTGCATTTCAGGATCATAAAAGAATTGTTACATTTCCTTTATATTCTTGGTATAACTTCATCGCCTTAAGATCGTCTAACAAATATTATTATTTATCTTCCATCCATTGTGTTATTAATTATTCTTTGAACATTAACAGAGCGCTCCAGGACACGTCCACATCCCAGGAATGCCTTACGACTTCAACTACGCCGTTAAGGACGACTACTACGGTACTGATTTCTCTCACAACGCTGTCAGCGACGGAGATCAAGTAAAGGGAGAATACAAAGTTCTCCTCCCAGACGGCAGGCTCCAGATCGTATCCTACATCGCCGACTGGAAGACAGGTTTCCATCCGACCATCCAGTACCAAGGCGAACCCAGATACCCGGCTCCAGGCCAGCCAGGACCAGGAAGAGGTGGACCAGGGGGACCGGTAGGACCAGGAGGACCAGGCGGACCAGTGAGCGGCCCATACTAAACCATTCCAACCATTATTTATTCATCCAACGACGGAAAAACTTCTAAATGGCTTATGTATACGCTGGTAAAACAAACAAACACCTATAATAAGAAGGTGTTTTCTAATGCCATGATCACTACAACATGGTGTCATGTCCCTTACAAGAGTGTTTCTTTCACATTAGTTATATGTTACAAAAACATATAAAACTTTTTTATACTTTTTTTATATAAAACTTTAATAATTGTCAATAAGTCATTTTTAAGTACCTCCACCTAAGTCTCACAGGACAGCTTACAAGAGCCAATGCCTTTGACATCAGCGAGTTGTTTCTGTGATATTAAAATTGTAATTGTACATATATATTTTTATATGTGTGACAATTATGATTCAGTACAACAACAAAAAAATGTATTTTTTATACCAATAAAAGTGACTTTTTGTATAACTTCTTTCTTATTAAAAAGTACCCCCGTTCAAAAAATTAACTGTGCATCGAATCATAAAGAACAGTCAATAAAGTAATGAACACTAACTCAATTGTGAAAACTACATAACTAAAACTATTTTGACAACTAAGAACATTATAGAGAAAGCATTCTAGCTGGGAAACAAATGTAACTTGAATATGTAGTCTATCAAAACAAGAGACGAAATATAAAATGAAACCTATCGAAAGAAAAAAAAAATGGATTTCATTCGTCCAACAAAAAAATTATCATCAATCTTTGAACCCAATAAATTCTTGGATTCGAAAGTATCTAAGAATAAAAAATTTGGTGTGCGCATCACAACTATCACTTACCGTTCTACTTCGAAAAGCAATTTTTTTCTGACAAAATTGGATTATTACAAGCTATTACTATAACAAAAAAATCAACAAGACCGTACCAATAACAAAAACCCTATTTATAATATCGATTGTAGCCTACGAAAACCTTAGATATTTCTACATCAGTCTATTTGAATAACATAACTCCAGTCTCTGAGCTCTATAGACTAAGAGAGATTTGAAAGTACATGGCATGTACAACATGAAGAGAAACTACCCATTGGTGGAACTCAAATTAAAGTTCTATATTAGAAGATCCCGAGGCCATCTTCTTTTCAGACGCCTCGGAGGGTTATCAGGGATCGAGGAGGAAGCAAGGTTTGAAACGAGAGGATTCGGATGGTTCTGCAGTTTGTTATGGAAGGAAAGGTATCTGGATTGGGCCAGATCGGAAACATATGGAACATTAAGGTCTTTATGGATGATTTTATTTGTGACAAAGTAAGGAGCGTTGAGGATTTTACGAAGGATTTTGGATTGTAAGGATTGGATACGAGAGGAATTCGATGGTTTAGTGGAGCCCCAAAGCTCAATTCCGTAAGTCCAAATAGGTCTTATTATTGTCATATATACGAGTCGTTTATAATTGATTGAAAGCTTAGATCGTTTGTCTAGTAAGTGCTGCAGTAGTCGAAAACGTCGGGCGGTTTCTAGTCGTTTCAGTCTGGTATGGGGGTTCCAAGTGAGTCGTTTGTCAAGGTGGAGTCCTAAGTAGCGGATTTGCTCAACAGGAATAAGTGGAGTATTATTGAAGGATACTGTAGGACAAGAGGTCATAGGTTTACGACGGAGGGTAAAGGTGATTTGATGGGATTTGTTGGAATTTATTTTTATTCTCCAATTTTTACACCATTCTTCAAGGCTTGTGATATGTGATTGAAGAGTTTGGGATGCAATTAAAGGATCGTTATTAACTGATAGGATACACGTGTCATCGGCATAGGTGGTGATGACAGTGTTGGATTGGGTTGGGATGTCAGTTGTATAAACTGTGTAAAGGATAGGACCTAGGATACTACCTTGAGGAACACCGGCAGATGAGTAAAAAGAGATGAATAAGCATTGTTATGATTGACTTTGAAGTATCTGTCAGTAAGGTAGGAACGGATAATGAGGAAGTATGTAGGTGGTAGGAATTCACGGAGTTTGTACATCAGTCCCGGATGCCAGACTCTATCAAACGCCAAAGTTCGTTTTAATACAAGTTTTTTAATTACGTCATTCTATTTTCCTCATATAATGATTTTTCAAAGAAGGTAAGTTTGATTCTTATTTTATTTTCATTGAAGTACATGTTTCTAAAAGGGTTCAGAGCTCGATTTGTTTTTGTTTTGTTTTAAAATGCATGTGCATGGTTAAACTCAAATCAACCTCAAAATTCTATTTCCCTCACAACACTAAAAGTGAGGGAAATAGATGTGAGGAAAATAGAGCACAGTATGATAAACTGTAATTTAAATAATATAAAACCAGACCTTTGATATATATATTTTCCGAGTTTAATTGAAAAATAAAACTGCAACGAGTCCCTGATTTGTGCATGAAAAAATGTATTCAATCTATGACAGAATCCCTTCATGGGGAGTAAATATAAATAGACACTGAACCTTCATTTATTATTGAACTTTCCAAATTTTACCCCAATAGCTACTGTTTTTAAAAAAATAATAATAAATTAACTAAAATTTATTGAAAGTAGGAACTGTATGGATTCAGAAAAGAAAAAAGAATATAATAGGCTTTGAGGAGAAAAATTTAAAAATGATCTGGTAAGTATCAGAGAACTGACGTTAAAGGAATATCGAAAAATTTGGAGGGTTACGAATAAAAAGTGGTAAAGGAACAAAAAATCCAAAGAATCCACCGACAGAATGCAGCACATTCTGAAATCTGCTAGAAAACGAAAGAGACAAAATCGGAGTAAATTGCAGGTAAAATAAAAAACAAATTGAAAGATGATTACAAAAAGAAACAAAGAATTATTGAGAGATTGATGAAAAGGGAGAACAGGGCAAAGCAAGCTGCTTCTTCCTCTAGTTCATCTCCTAAGAGTTTTACTCACCGGTATACGATATAGAAGCCGGTCATTTTTTTATCTTATAGCCAACTCCCTCGAAGTTTCTTTCACAAAACTGAAATTTGCCACGTGAAACTATTCTACTCCTGGTCACGGCAAGGGTGCAATGGATGGAATCGGAGGTTGTTTGAAGCGAACGGCGGACACAGCATGGTATTAGTAGCTTGCAAACATTCATAGAAGTACTCCGAAAAAAAGACGGAAAGTCATACTGTAGAAGACATTTCTGGAATATCGTAATTGATTTTAAAGCTGCTTTCGCCGTTCAAAGGTACTATGCAGGTCTACTAAGTTGTATACCACCGAAATGGAACATCTAGGAGGATTTCAAAAATAAACAAATTAAGTTGTTTTGATTGCTTTAAATTCAACAATTTCTCTATCGGATTTCACGAAACAAGTTCTGGTGCTGCTCTATCCAACACTCTTGGAAGGAGATAAAGAAACATTGGAAGAAACATCTGCGCTTCATCCATGCTCGCTTCTTGAGACTATGATTTGTGAACCTGAAGCTCCTATAGACACCTAATCTCAAGATATATTAATCACTGAGGAAACACTGGTGCTAATCCTTATGGTCAAAGGAGGGGAGTTACATCATTGCAAGATTTGATGGTAAAAAGGAGTATCGTCACGTTTGCAGCTTGACCAGTGTACGCAATAATGAAATAACTGTTTTTGGCCTACATTCCTTTCAAAATTCAAAACGTGATTTCATTTTAAACGGAAACGACCAGTTCTGTCTACGCAGTGATATTTTGATGGAATTACCGCTCCAAAAGTCAAAATCAAAACAGGAGAATCCTGCAAGTCTTTTCGTTTGACTCGGAAGTAGTGAAAAAAGAGTGAAATTTATGTCACCACTATGATTTTATTTTGAAACTAATTATAGGCTATCCTAGTAAAAGCCTATAATTAGTTTCAAAATAAAATCACAGTGATAGCTTCAATTTCACTCCTTTTCGATTCGAAAAATAAATTTATATTATAATGTTTTACGATTCCAAATGTTTATTTTATTTATTATTATTGTTCTTGTTTTCTGTTTACTTGTTCATACAGTGTTAAATAATATCTTTTAATTTACTGATTTGATAATAAAAATATTTTATTAATTAAATGTTGAGTGTTTTCTATTTCCCTCACACCCTCTCTATTTCCCTCACTTTCATGATTTCAATCATGATCCTAAATGTGCATATAGACTACATTCTATGAAGGGATTTTTTGCTAGTGCCATTAGTGAACTATTGTTAAGTTATTTATGAAAAAAAAACTTTTTTTTACATTACTTTTTTCTGATAGAATCACAGTTTCGAAATTCCAACAAAATGAGAGAATGGCCCATTTATAATTTTTCGTCATTCCATTACCTTCTACAACTATATATATTAGATTTCTTTTTTTTAATTCTCTGCTTTCTAACGATATATTTTATTTTAGGAAATCCATTTTCAACCTAAATAAACTGTTTCCCCTTTTTCTCCATTTTCCAATTATCAAAAGATTTCATATTTAATATTTAACCATTTTTATAGTTATTATCAATAAAATAGAGCTATTTTCTTAAAAATAAACCAAATTAAATAAGCTTTAGAGGAAGAGGCGATTATGAAAATTGGGTATTTAAGCCATGTAAAGTGACATCAATGAGGATAAGATCTAGCTGATATTAAAAACAACGTAATAATACACTTATATACCGAGATTAATTAAAATCGCTAGAGCCGTTTTCGCATCGTAAAAATGTGATAAATCGATTATATAAAGTGCCAATTCCGTTCAGGCGAAAACGTTGCTGTAACATCTCAGGTATATACAAACCTTAAATACATAACATCAATTTCGTACGACTTTTCGTTTTTGATCTAGACTGTTGACATACACACACAAACACCATTTTGTGTGACTTCGTTCGTTGGATTCAGAGGATCTGAGAGCATGTATTTCCGTAGAAAACTCTACTCGGAAATTTTCTCAATCTTAATACTTTTCCTTATTATATATTTCATATATAGGTAAGTGAAAGTAAAAATGAAGCCTTTTTCGTGTGCTATCTCTTGTACGACAGCAACCTTCAACCAACTTCCCCTACAATAAATTATTAAAAACGTAACAACATTTATCTCAAAATCTCAAGCTACAAGTATCACTAACAGGCGGTCATACAATTGAAGACGGGTGGATGAAGGTCACATATATAAGAAATCTAGAACAAATTACCGATAATTTTATGTTTATTTTTTTTTAAGAAATAATAAATAAGTTTACCAATCTTGGGGCTCATTGTCTAAAGAAAAATCCATAATTGAAAAAGTTTTAATTTCTCACAGCAATTATTATTTAGAAATTGGAAAATTTTAATCAACAAAACTGTTAAGCTAACAGTCTGAAAGTGGCTGCTGATTGGAAAGTATTACATAGTATTAAAGAAAAACTGTGTGTGGTGTTTTCTATTATTGTGTATTACAAAACATATTTTTTCTAGAGAAATATAATTTAAAGAACATTGCCATTTAAAAGTAATAGCTTTTATTTAACCAAATCAAAACAGGCGTGAAAAGAATAATTTGTAAACTAT